GTTTTATTGGCCCCAACCAAGGTAACTCTACAACACAAGCTTATTAAAATAAATGATTACTTGAATGCTATATTCCTATCAATAAATATTGCTAAATCTAAAATAATTATTTTCAGAAATAATATCAAATTATCTAACCAAGCTTTTTATTTAAATGGTCAACCTTTAGAATTAGTTAATAATATAAAAGATCTAGGTACAATTTTTAACTGGAATGGTAAATTCCAGATGCATTTGAAACATCTTAATTAATGTAAAATAATTATTTTCAGAAATAATATCAAATTATCTAACAAGAGAAAGCTTTTTATTTAAATGGTCAACCTTTTGAATTAGTTCATAATATAAAATATCTAGGTACGATTTTTAACTGGAATGGTAAATTCCAGATGCATTTGAAACATCTTAATGTAAAAATCAATTAATTAATTAATAATACTCTTTATTTAAGTGCAAGTTTAAAAATTTAAAATTTAAAATTGCATATGAGAATGTTTAACTCAATTATTATGCCAGTTCAATTTGGGCCATTGATCTATTTTATAATTTGGAAAAATATNATATAAAAGATCTAGGTACAATTTTTAACTGGAATGGTAAATTCCAGATGCATTTGAAACATCTTAATTAATGTAAAAATCAATCAATTAATTAATAATACTCTTTATTTAACTGCAAGTTTAAAAATTTTGAATTTAAAATTGCATATGAGAATGTTTAACTCAATTATTATGCCAGTCTGATTTGGGCCATGATCTAATTTGGAAAAATATCATATTATATTCTTACGTAAATTATATAAACTCGAGCACACAGTTCCAGGATATGCTATACAATCAGAAACTAATAGATATCAAATATTTCCATTCTTTTTGAAAAGATTAATAAAATTTTATTATAGACTACTAAACCACAAAAGATGATAATGTTAAATTTTTATTTTATGTTATGAATACTCAAATTAAAAATGATAATGTTAATAAAACAACATGGTGTTATAGGTTTAATAAAGTTTTACAATCATTTGGAGTATCAAGTACATTATTTGATAACACTGGACAACAATGATTTTGTTTTGGGCTCAAAATTAGCATATTCTTATGTATTTTCATCTGCTGAATTCAAAAATCACTCTCTCTACACACTGGTAAATATAAATAAAATACTCCTCCAAACCTTTATTTGAACAGTAACAGCCTATTTGATAAAGCTTGAAGAAGAGCCCAGGAGGGGTGGACGAAAGCGTTTACGATTCTAAAAATAGAAGCACTCTGGTTAAAAGGTTTGGAGGAATATTTTATCAAAAATCACTATAAAAATGACCGATTAGCTCTTGCTTTGGCACAGCGGTTCCCAACCAGTGGTAAAATATGATCTGCGAAAGATTTAAAACTTTCATTCATTTTAAATTATAATTTAAAATGATTGACGTATTCTAAATAATACAAAACATGAGAAAGGTTTTATAGTAAAATTTGAACCATGTTCTAAGTGAATGGAGGCTATTCATAGACTCCTCTAAGCTTAGTTTGAAGGTTGTATTACTTCACAACGGCAACCGTCTTCCTTCTATTCCTGTTGGTCATGCTGTTCACATGGCAGAGACTTACGCAAACATGACAGCCCTCCTTGACTCAATCAATTATGCTGAGTACAAGTGGAAAATATGTGGTGATCTAAAAGTCATCGCTGTACTCTTAGGAATGCAACTGGGGTACAGTAAATACTGTTGCTTTTTATGTATGTGGGATAGTAGGGATAGGAAATCACATTACATTCAAGTAGACTGGCCTGCAAGAAATCTTGGCTCTACCGAGAAAAATATCATTGCTGAGCCTCTCATGGACCCAAAAGATGTTCTTCTTCCACCCCTTCATATCAAGCTGAGTTTAATGAAAACTTTTGTCAAAGGTATGAACCAGAAAGGACAGGCATTTAAGTACTTAAGAAACAAATTTCCTAGCTTGAGTGATGCAAAGGTTAAGGAAGGTATTTTTGTTGGGCCACAAATTTGAAAACTTGTAAAGGATCCTGCTTTTGACCAAGTTTTGGGGGGGAAGAAATGGAAGCTTGGGAAGCCTTAAAGGGAGTTATTCATGGATTCTTAGGCAACAAAAGATACGATAACTACACTTGGTGACAATACTTCTGGAAAAATATCAGCAACTCGGATGTAACTTGTCCCTCAAAATCCATTTTCTCCATTCCCACCTAGACTTTTTCCCTCCTAGTTGTCCTAGTTGCAACATGTCCCTCAAAATCCATTTTCTCCATTCCCACCTAGACTTTTTCCCTCCTAGTTATGGAGCTGTCAGTGATGAATGAACATGGGGAAAGATTCCACCAGGATATTTCTGTATTGGAACAAAGATATCAGGGCTATTGGAATGGAGCAATGCTTGCAGATTACTGCTGGTCTGTGTGTAGGGATGCACCAGAACTCACTTACAAGAGGCAAGCCAAAAGAAAACGATCTCATGAAGTCACCACATGATTCTCTTCACACTGAACCACCTGCCAGATATTCTTCTATTAATTAGAACTCTTAGAATGTTACTGTAATTTAAAAAAAATTCAAAAGCACTTTGAATGTTTTTAGCATATGTAATTAAAATGTATCATTTTCTCTTATGCTGTTAAAATCACCTAATGTATACCATAGAAACAAGAGCTAATAAAATTTTTTCTTTGTCATATTCAATTTTCTCACCCCAAAATTAGTAAGATTTCTCTCATGAAATAAAGGAAACATTCAAAAACATTTTTTTTTGTTGTCCAGTGTAATTCGATGGATAACTGGAGACAACCTTATACTATGATGATGGAATCAGCATTTTCACATTCGATGATTGACGACCAAAATTCAATTCTGGACTCAACATATCAACTTTGGTATCTACATATATTAAATTTTCCCACACAATCAAATATTATTAAAATAAACTCAACTTTAAATGCTAAACATATTTTAATTCAGTTATGACTTAACCAATATTCATTAATAATAAATAATACATATATTAATTTTTCAAAAGCTTGTTATAGGTGTGGCTCCAATGATTTTTCTGCAATTCACTTACTCAGTGACTGCACAGCTTTAAAAGACTATCAACAAAAATTTCAAACTTTAGAAATAATTTCTATAAATAAAGGGATAAACTATAGAGCTATTTTAAATGATCTATCAGAATAAATATGTATAAAATTGTTAACTTTTTTACTCAAATTGATAATGTATTAAATAATGTCATATGATTTGATTAATTATATTATTGTTTACTTATTAAGAATACTGCAAGTGTCCTGATGTTATTAATCAATGTTTTAGATTAAAAATAATCTCTCCTTGTAACAAGGTTTACTTATTATGAATAAAGATTATGATGAAAAAAATTATCAACAGATCTGTAAAGTTTATGAAAATTATGAATTCAAATCTTGCCTCCAGTTATTCTTTTAGAGGCTTATACTTTTCTCAATACATTTAAATTTATTTATTTATAATAAATAATAATATGTTAATCATTAGAATTCAATCATTAAATGACTAAAGATTTGTTTTTGTATTAATAAATTTATTGTTAGTAATATCAATTAGTCAAAACTATATCAAACAGAAACTTCAGCAATTATTGATACAATAGAATCCCACATACTTGACTTAATGTGAATTGAGAAGGTGATGAGTTACCAAAAACAATAAGTTTTATGACATAGTGTTGAGGCAGGTCTAAACAGAGGGTGACCCTCACTAGCTGAGTACATAAAACTGATCCATTCAGCTACCGAGTGGACCACTGAACACTGATTGATTAGTGTTTTGTGGTCACATTTGGTCATAGGTTCACACCTTGCCAAAGGACTGGCCATATGGGATTTTTCAGGTTTTCTTCACATTAGTAACACCTAAATAGGAACAGTTTCCCAAAGAAAGTCCTCCTGGGAGACATTCCTCCTCAGCAGAAAGCCCATGTTACCTTACCATAAACAAATAAACTGAAACCTAAATAAAAGAATTTTCATAAAGTTATTATATGTGCAAATTCATATACATATGAACTACATACTAATAGTGAGCATTTTTATTTGTAGTTAAATTTTAATTTTAAAAAATATTTGTTATTTAGTGGCTACTTTCTAATTAGTGAAATTTGGGTTGTGGAGTTTTGCAGTGGCATCTTGGACAAAGAATTACATTCTTTGTTAAAACATAGAATTGATGCCATTATCAAGTGTTGCCAATGAAAAATGATTACTTATTTTATCCTAGTGTTAAGTTAGAAGTAAAAATTACATTATATATATTTTATTTTTGAACTACACAATGAGTTTTACAGAATACTGAGTTATCAAGAGTCAAGTTCCCAGGACTCTACTGCATTTGAAATATTTATTTAAATTTTAAAAATTATGTATATTTAGAATATAAATCTGTTTCTATAATACTATCACTCAAAACTGGGTATACTTGAATTAAAACTACTAAAAACCTATAATTCAGCAATTATGGGTCACAGGTAAAAACGTTAAGCACTGATTTAAAAAAATTTCTGGATTATAGGTTTATTAGTGGTTTTAATCTGTTTCTATAAATATTGGTGATTAATATGTAAATGGATTTAACATTCTACCAATTTGAAAAAGCATTCTATCAATTGCAATTTTCTGAAAGTCAAATTGATCAAATTTGACTTTCAGAAAATTGCAATTGATTTTGTAACAATATGAATAACTTAGCAAATTTAACAGTAATATTTAATCAATAGATAGAATAAGATCTATTGATTAATAGAGCCATATTAATATATTAACTTAATCTTCTATTTATTTATTGTTCATATTTTATTAATATATAATATTTTTCATAGTTTTTTAAATAATTCACTTTATAGAAAGATTGGTCTCTGTTTCAATACAGGAAAAAAATCTTTAAATAATATTTTAATTAATTAATGATGATAATAATAATTATATTAATGTATAAAAAATGAAATTACAAATACATAAACCTTGGCTAATAGATAATTTGATGTTAAAATAGCTGTTTAAAAGCATAAATAACAAGTTTTATGTTAAAATCTATAATTATAATAAGATAAAATACATTTTATTATTTATTTAAATATATTTTATCTTTGAAAAATTAGATGATCTAAAAATTTCCAAACTAAGATTATCACATCAATCTATCAAATTACTAATGAATTATAAATAAGCCAGTTTTTTTATTTTTTACCTATTTATGAAGAATCACATGTAACAGTTTCATTATTTACAGTTGTCTCACCACAAGGTGTAACAAAATATGTATCAAGCAGAAGACTTGCTACTTGATCATCATCAAGTGTATCTGTACTCTTCAAACTATCTGTATCTGAACATTCTTCAACATTTTCAAAGGATTTAGAAGGCATTTTATGTTTATTTAAAAGATTTTTATGAAGAGGTTTATCTTCCTCAGAAAATAATTCAAAGTCTTTAGATTTTTTTAAAATATCACTGGAAACTTCGTGAACCTTATTTATTATACTTGCATTATAGAGGAATCTTACAAGGTGAGCCACTTTCACCATATCTGTTCAACTTTTATATTAATGACATTGAGAACTTGTTTTTAAATGACTCAGAAGGAATATATATACATTAGGGTGGTCCATAAAAAGTTTTTTGTTTTTCAGATTGGCCACCCCGTAAATTTGTAATATGTATCCATAGCATTAACATTGTANAGGTTTATCTTCCTCAGAAAATAATTCAAAGTCTTTAGATTTTTTTAAAATATCACTGGAAACTTCGTGAACCTTATTTATTATACTTGCATTATGATTATGATCTTGTTCTAATGGTGATGAATCAGAATTAACAATACTAATACAATCTTCTGGAATTTCTCTTTGCACTTTTTCACATTCATTACTTTTTAATTGATGCTGACTCAAAATATTAACTCTTTCTTTTAAAGGTGGATGTATCTGAAAAAAAAATTTAGCTATATAGTTATGTTATATTATACTATTGATGCTTTTTTGAAAATTCTACTAAAAATTTTTTAAATTATTACAATATTTCAGATCATAACAACTTACACAATGTAAATTATTATTATCCAACTAGGAAGCTCTCTGTACTTAATTCTATTGAATCATTAGTCATTCAAACATTTTTTTAAATATTTTGTTTGCTCTGAGATTCTTAGATACAAATTATTTTTCTTCTTAAATCCAGTCATGAAAACATGTTTTAAAACAAACTTTGCACTTTGAACAATATGTTCTAAAAACATGTAATTTTCTTACAAATTTAAAAAGATTCGATTCTACCAAATCTTTACACAGATAATCTCAAGTTATATTTACAATTTTTTGTAACTTAAGAAAGCACAGCTGGTTATTTCTTTTTAGTGGCTTTGTTACCATACTAATACCAATCATATATATATTTTTTCAATTTTCTCTACCATTATTGGAGATAATAAAAAAAGTTTAAAAATCTACATTTATATTTTCCCAATGCGGGATAAATATAAATACTGTCAGGGGTAATTGTAAATATCATGGTTTTTGTACTTAGAACTCTACATCTTTGTGTGGCAGTGGAAATTGTAAGAACATAAATCTTTCAAATGCAAAATGAACAGAATTTGGCAATTTTACTTCAAAAAATATATGAAAAACCTGTATTCATGACATTAGAATACATTCAAATAATTTGATATGAAACTTTGCTTTTAGCCTATACAAATTAGACTAACAAGGGAAGACCAGAAGTTATTACAAGCACTTTTTAATAAAATCAGTAACTATTCATGTAGATAGTTGCTGATCAGTAATCATGTAACTATCATCATATAGATCTCAGTGGACTTTATAAGTGGATAAAGCTGATCATAGGAATAGGCAGGGAGAGAAAACTTGAAAAGAAATGCATGCATAATTAATAAATAGTTAGTCTGAAGAGCTTAAGGCCAACTGTGGCATCGTGTGATCAATAGTACCTTCAGTTCTGACTTGGGTTCCATTCTCCTTTCATTTGTTTTTTTAAATATACATAAAAAATAACATTTTAAATTTAAGTGAATAAAATACTTTTTATTTTCTTTTATTTCACAGCAGTTACAAATTTAATATTTTGTCTCTAGTCAAAATCATTGTGCTATATTTTATGTTTTTTTAGTTTCTTTCTATATTTTTTATTCCAAACCACTGCTGACAAGAATTTGATTTGTAAATTATCAAAAGTAGTCCTACTGTATATGTAAAAATACAATTACAATTGTTTAACAATGCTAATTGTATTTTCAATTAAACTTTCACACCTAACAAGATAGAATAAAAAAGAAATAACAGATTAAATTTTAACTAGAGACAAAATATTAAATTTATAAGACAGTCCTTCTTTATGTATGTTTGAGGCATTCTGAAACAAAGCCTGTATCAGGTGCTTAAAGTTAAATAGGCTTATTCTGACTGTCACTATAAAGGCCAAATTTTGCAGTTTCTATCATACACAGTTAAATATAGGAAGATAAAAATTCTACCTCAATGAGGGTGAAATTGCAATTACCCCTGTCAGCCCTAGGTTACTACATGGCTAACACGAGGCATGTCCGGAAAGTAAGTACCATTTTGGAAAAACTGGCATAAAAAATATTTTTTCAAAACAAAATTAATTTTTACATGAAAAAGCATGTCTGAAACTATTTTTCTACATAGTTACCACCATTGTTCAGACATTTGTCATATTGGGAAACCAACTTGTCTATACCCTCTTCAAAGAAAGATGCCACCAGTGAAGACAGCCCCTGCTGAACATCGGTTGTTGAAAGAATCTCATGCAAAACAGTATTTGAAATTTGTGGAAACTCATCACAAAGCAATCTTATTGTGAACCGTCTGTTTTCGGGAATTTTTTCATTCACTTTTGCAACCAATCCATCATTGACAACAAAAGGCCAGCCACTCCATGCTTCGTCATGAACATCAGTGCATTCAGCATTGAATTGTCGAACCCACTTTCTAACCATTCCACCACTCATTACATTTTCACCATAAATCTCTACAAGTTGATGATGAATTTCAACTGGCTTAACATTCTTTGCGTTCAAAAACCGTATTACAGAATGCACTTCACAGTCGGCGGGATCGGCAATAGTCTTAAACATTTTGAACGCTCACTAACACGTGGAAAAACAACACAATCCGGCTGTAATGGCGTCACTGGACTGACAATCAACCAGAGAGATGTGTGCGCAGGCGCTGAACTGCGATACTACCACTGCAATGGTGGTAGAACAAAACGATACTTACTTTCCGGACACGTCTCGTATTTGAAAGAAACTAAAAAAATAAAAATTAAAACAAAATGAGACTGTAATGGATATATTGTCAATTTCTAGTCTTGTTAACTTTGGAAACTATCAAGATGTTAAAGAAGAATGATCTTTACTGCTTGAAAACAAAACTTTGCAAATAAATGCAATAAAAATTGGTCTTTTATATATATTTTAAATTAAATAATGTAAAAACGTATTATTATAATTTTAAATTATTTATACCTTGATTTTATTATTGCTCTTTTTAATTCCTGATGAAGTTGAAATACTTTTTTTTCTGCTTCACTGTATGCTGAAGATGTCCTTGCATGTTCTTTTTCACTAAGAGTTCGCTCTGTTTCAGCTTCATTAACCTTATAACAAATAAACAAGGTTAACAGTTAAGTTTCTTCTATTCTTTTTCATTAATTCTTTGATAAATACTTTCTTTTAAATGATTTTAAATCAATAATAACAAACTCTTATTCATTTAACAGAAATTATCAAACATTAATTATTAAAAGTTTATGTGGTATAATAGTATAATGCAGAAATGTTTTTTTTATTATAAAGTCATAACTTATATTATTATAAAGTCTTAGACTTATATTTTGTAATTTATTATCATTTTTACTTTCATTATAGACCATATACAGTAAAAGCTCAATATTATGGACTTCATGTGGCTGATGTGGGTCCAGCCAAAAAGTATAGGAAAGTAAAAAAACTCATTTTATATAACACACTCCTTTATAATGAACTCCCACTACTACAGTCTATTTTTTGGGTCCTGCAGACCATCCTTCCATTATCACACTTTTAGTCATCATTTTATCTACTTCATCTGAAAAAATAAATATAAAATTCACATTTTAATAATTTTTTCAGCATAGATTTTCACATTATGTTCAGTTTTGGTTTTGTTTCTCTACAAGTGCTGACTGTTGAATTTGTTGTGTAAAGCAAAGCCATGGATCATAAAAGAAAATGAANGAGGCCAACAGGACCAATGATCTCTACAATGACACTCTCTTCTTCAACACCTGTCGGGTGTTGAAGAAGAGCGAGAAACAGACCACCTTGGATATGTTTTTCAAGAAGTCAGCTGCCAAAAAACAAAGAATGGAACAAGAGGAGTTGACCCTGCAAGCCCCGGTTAAAAAACTGACTCCGATTAAAAAACAATAAAAAGAGATCCTCTGCAATGTGTAAAAAGTCTGTATCTGTATGAATATGTGAAGAAAGCGTTCCTCCACCTCCTCCTCACAACATCTGACTACCCGGCATAATTGGTGACTGCTCCATTTTCATTTTTTTATGGTACAGTACGGTTATTTTATGCTGCGGAATGAATTATATGTTTTAACATGTATTTCTATGGTAAAATGCATTTCGTATAACGGACTTTTCACTTAACGGACGTGTACCTAGAACGGATTAAGTACATTATACGAGGCATCACTGTATATTGATTTTGTTATTACCCATTATTACTTTCTAAATTTCAATTTAAGATGTGATTCCGTTAATTTTTTCAATTATAAAAAATTTATATTGCTCATATTCACAAAAATGATCTACCTCATATTTTTCAATGAAAGAACTTTTGTTATGTAAAGATATTTCTGTTTCATCATCATTTTTCTTTTCCTCAGATTGTTGCAAATCTTGAAGTTTTCTAATTTGATGAATTTCATCACTTATTTTTTCCAAATTACGTAATGTTTCTGAATAATTCAATTTCACTTTAATAACTTTTTCTTCTATTTGATTAATTTTCTTCCTCTGATTCTATCAGAAGATATAATAGTCTAAATTATTTTGATATTTTTATTTACATTTTACCTTATAATAAAAATACATACATTTTATCTTTTAAATTAACTTCTTAAAAATATGCTATCTCTAAATATTTTTTCAGTTACATGTAATTAATGTTAACTTCTAAAGTTCTTAGTCAGCATTATGAAATTCATTAAGACATTAATATAGTATATAATTAGCAAACAGATTACAAATTATTAAAAATACACTGCTGGCCATTAAAATTGCTACACATGAAGGTGACATGCAACAAACGTGAAATTTGCATGAAAGGTACAATATGCTGGGTGCTCTGTACCTCAAGTTTACCTGTCAATTTAATCATGTCTTCCTCCCGTTATACTGTATGTGTACAATAAACATGATTCTGCTATTTACTTTCCTTCCTGGTGTAACAATTTTAATGGCCAGCAGTGTATTTTGGACTATGCAAACTTTATTACATGAAATAATTATTAAACATACTATAAAATTTTGTAGAAGTGAAATATCAAAACAAATTTCTACTAATGCTAACAAAATTCTGCATAATTTTGTTAAATTTTCCTATTATAGAACTAACATTGCATAACCAAATAATAATCATCTACATAAAAAACTCCTATTAGTTAATTGAAAAAAATTAATGTCTGGAACAAAATAAGTTATGAGAGATACAATTTTGGCTACATTATTATGCATAAAGGGCACATAATATGATGATCAAACAGCAAAGAATTGTGGTATATTTAATTTTATAACTTTTAAATGTAATATATACATAATTATTTTATGTTTTATTACAATTATGAGTTATTAAACTCATTACAAGTTTTGCAGAGAATCAAAATGTAGAAAAAACATGGGACAGTAAGTCCTAGAGTCATTGTAAACAGTATTGTATAGATATTGATTTAAAGTCATATAAACAATAAAGAGAAAAATAATAATAGAATCTATGGTGATTATGAAAGCAAGATGGAAAGGTAATAATTCTAATAACTTAAACATTAAATTCCTATCAAACTTGAAGAGTCAACAACTAACTAAATAATTTTTTAAAATAAACTCTCAACTAGATAATTATTCTCATTACCTGTTAAATATTTGAAAGTTAAACTTTTCTTATACTTACCTCTAAAACTTGATTTAACTGTGATTTTAGTTCAAAATAAGGTCTAAAGAAAATAAAAGACAGAAAATTTAAAAAATTATACTGGATAATTTAATTATCAAATCTGTATAAACGATATATGACAATCTAGATACTTATTACATTAAACAATCAACACTTTAGTATATCCAGTGAATTAATTTTACTATATACAGTAGAACCTCCATTATCCGGACCTCCATTATCCGGATTTTCGATTATCCGGATTTTTCGTTATCCGGACTACCTTCATCCCCAATTAGTCCGGATAATCGAGGTTCTACTGTACTAGTGTTTTTGCTCATTTTGAAAGATCTCCTTCAGGCAATCTAGAATGTAACTATTACGAATGCAAAATAGAATGTTAACATTTCTGTTTTTATATTAACTAATTGGACTTGTTTATAAATAGAACATATTATACTGGTATAGTTTTTGATTAGCAAAGAGAGGAAGTCAGTCAAAAAATAAAACAAAATATCATTATTTTCATCTGTACAATCTTTTTGCATGTTTTGGATCTGTAGGTCCCTCTTCAGCAGATTTATAACATTCTATAACAACTGTACAAAAACTTTTACAATTGTATTACACCCAACATTTGAGATAAGATAAAAAAATTACAGTGTCCGTACGGACACTGTAATTTTTTTATCTTATCTCAAATGTAATGCCATCTTTGATTCCCTGACTTATTATGAATGTCTCTGCATTTCCCCTTTCCATTATGCAATATTCAGCCAAGTCTATTTAAGCCCATTTTGTACACAATTATATACATTTTTTTTATTAAAAACACTTTATTCATTTACAAAAAATAAAAAAGTTTGCATAAAAATGATTATGTAATTAGCTATGTCATTTCCACGTCATATAAATAATTTCATGATTTAATTTAAATTAATTCATAAATTTTATTTAAATAAGAAAAAGATTTGCATTGTATTGTAAAATTGAATTTTCTTAAAGTAAGGAAGTGGTAAATTCAAAATATTTTAAGCAGAAGAAATTGTGCACTCCACAAGGAGAAATAGCTTATTGCATGTTATTTTTGGTCCAGCACAGAGCCATTCAAGGTCATCACATAACTTCCCATCCCTCCCCAAAACTTATAATGGGAGTGACAGAGTTTTGGCAGAAAAGCGAGTTGTTGTCAATGTTTTTGAAAACTAATTTTAACTCTATGCCAATATTTTGGTATACTTCTGAAATTCCACAAGCCATCTGAAGACAAAACTTTGCAGTTAGAGAGAAGACATATCACAGATCATCAATCCGTCAAAATTGTCAGGATTATTATCTCCACATACTGCATGTAGTCAGCAGCGAAGAATACAATAATTAAAAATACATAAATTGTGTGAGGTCTGCCACGAGATCCAAAATGTACCATACACAATATCGTTAAGACAACTGATGGTTCTTTGTCTCCCCCCCACAGCATCAACTGACTCCAAAGTTTTAACCAGATGTGCAGGTCAAAAAAAATTGGGAGGGTTGTGTACAGGACAAAATCTCAATTGTTTAAGGCATGGATTCATCTTTGTGTTATTAGAGGAAGGATAAGATGTAAATTAATAAAGTCTTGGTGGTTATCACATTCCAAGTCAATATCTAGTGGTTCAGGTGGCGGTGCACACTTATTGGCTTATAACTTTACAAATTCTATTTTATTGGTTAAATAATATTGTAGATCCTGTTATTTTCTATACAAATCGACACCAATTTCAACATCCTATCTCTTCACCATCCAAACACCACACTGTGTTGCATTTTCGATGTTTGTGTACAATTGCTGCCCCTCCCTGAACAGCTGCACACCCTCCAATATACACCATTTTAAATACAAACACACACCTTCTATCCAACAAAATTTAAACTGTTAGATTATAATTTATAGTTTATGATGTGTAAGCACAACAAATGTTGCCATTTGTTTGGTTGCTTCAGTTTTTGTAGGCCTTCCTATACCAAACCAAATTTAAAGATGTGTTCAGAACAAAAAGTAGCAAGAGCAACAGATTGATTCCCTGACTTTCCCTGATTTTTAATGCAATTCCATGACTTTTTCTGTTAAAAATCTTATACCCTGACATTCCAGGTCTGTACGGACCCTGTACTTACATTTTCTTTACTGTCCAATATTAATACATCACTAATACCAACAAAAATCATTTGATACTTTATGTCAGTATTACACAAAAAGAGTGTCCAGGTGAAAATAAAGATATTACAAAATATCTGAATAATGTCTTCATTATTCAATATTATTCAATTTTGACAGTTTGGCCACAAGTCTGTCCAATCTAAAAAACTTCAGAATAACAAATTTGGATAATTCAAAGATGACATGTTTTCCTAGCAATTCTCTAGGAACTTGTATTTCTGGAGAATTGCAAGAAAAACATGTCATCTTTGAATTGTCAGAATTGTTTCATGGGAAGAAAAGGAATACTCCTACTGTTAATTTCTTCACATCTCTATAGACAGCTAACAAAAAAATAAAAAATAAAACAAATTGGTAAAACCTAATTAATAGAAATGAATAGAAATGAAAAGAAAATTCTTGTCAAACTAAGAAAAGAAGAAATTTAGAGTATAAAAATTTGGTAAACAAATGAACTAAGTATATCAAGTACTAACAGTTTATCAAGAAACACAAAATAAAATATTTTTATTTTCAGCACAATGCATCCTACTATAATAATTGGAACAGATGTAAAAACACTTTTGAAACATTGAATGCTGTAACAACATGAAATACAACATGACCAATGTGCATTCTAGTACTTATAGTGTTAAGAAAATAGAAAATTTTTATTTAAACTAAATTTTTTCAAACATTGTAATGTTTTTCAGCAGAAATTCCTAATGCTAAACATTACAATTAAGTAAATTTTTATTAACATGAACAATAAATTTCTAATGATTAATATTAAAAATGTTTAAAAATTTGTAGATAAAAAATTCTACTAATTATCTAAAAATATATTATAACATAATATAAACTAAAAAGTAACTTATAATATTTTAAATTAAATAATGTAAAAACGTATTATTATAATTTTAAATTATTTATACCTTGATTTTATTATTGCTCTTTTTAATTCCTGATGAAGTTGAAATACTTTTTTTTCTGCTTCACTGTATGCTGAAGATGTCCTTGCATGTTCTTTTTCACTAAGAGTTCGCTCTGTTTCAGCTTCATTAACCTTATAACAAATAAACAAGGTTAACAGTTAAGTTTCTTCTATTCTTTTTCATTAATTCTTTGATAAATACTTTCTTTTAAATGATTTTAAATCAATAATAACAAACTCTTATTCATTTAACAGAAATTATCAAACATTAATTATTAAAAGTTTATGTGGTATAATAGTATAATGCAGAAATGTTTTTTTTATTATAAAGTCATAACTTATATTATTATAAAGTCTTAGACTTATATTTTGTAATTTATTATCATTTTTACTTTCATTATAGACCATATACAGTAAAAGCTCAATATTATGGACTTCATGTGGCTGATGTGGGTCCAGCCAAAAAGTATAGGAAAGTAAAAAAACTCATTTTATATAACACACTCCTTTATAATGAACTCCCACTACTACAGTCTATTTTTTGGGTCCTGCAGACCATCCTTCCATTATCACACTTTTAGTCATCATTTTATCTACTTCATCTGAAAAAATAAATATAAAATTCACATTTTAATAATTTTTTCAGCATAGATTTTCACATTATGTTCAGTTTTGGTTTTGTTTCTCTACAAGTGCTGACTGTTGAATTTGTTGTGTAAAGCAAAGCCATGGATCATAAAAGAAAATGAAAAGTTTTAGATTTAACACAAAAAATAGATATAATTCATTAAAGTGAAGATGGAAAATCTCAAACTGAAGTAGGTTAAGAAATGTCTCCAAATAAGCAGACAATTTCAGACATTTGAAAAGCAAGAGAAGGACTATAACAGGTTTTCCTTAAAAATATTTTTAAAAAAGTAATGAATAAACGTATTGTTTTTACAAGTTTAGTAAATTATGTAAGCTAGATTTTTTTAAACTGAAATTTTGTCCACAATATCAACATATAATAATAGACAAGTTGATATTACTATACATAGTATAATCCCCTTACATTAACATAACAGATCCACTGAAACAGTGTAAAAATTAGTGATGTAACGAATATTCGGTTACTATTCGGTATTCAGCCTATTCGGCCTATTTTTCACTATTTGGCCGAATACCGAATATTTAATCACTATTCGGCCGAATACCGAATACCTAAAAACAGGAGTTATAAATAACAAAAACACAGTAAATTAATCATTTTGGTATTTAGAGTTAATGTTATAGAGTTAGTGTTGTTTGTTTATATTTATTTATAACTTGTAACATGCACAAAATAAAAAAGAAAATAATATTAGTCACATGTATTCACAATTTATAATTACAAAGATCAGCACACGTACACGTCTATCGTTGGAGAATCCTCGCACATCTGAGGGTCTGACCCTGCCTATCCTTCTTTTTAAGTGCTCGTCTTTGCTCTTCCCTTTCTCTTTCCTCTATTGCTCTAATCCATGTATGCCTATGCATACATCATAATATGCGCTCACGATACTTTCGATTAATCACTTTTCCGTCGTAGAGTTCCCATTTTACAATTACGTGACTCAGCCTGGTGATAACGAGAAAAGAGACAGATAAGACGTCGATATAAGTCGCAGTTATGATTTCACAGATTCGAGACAGCTTGATAGCCCGAACGGCCCCGGGCTTTCGCCTGTGCACGCTAAGTGACTTTCGTTACAAGCATTTAGCTTTCCGAAGTCTATGACAACAATTGTTTAGCATTGACGGCCGCGAATTTCGCGCCAATAAGCTACTTCGACTCATTAGATTATGTTATCAACTCAATTTCATATTTATTTTCACATTTTCACTTTGCGGTCCTTCTCTGTTCTTTCTCCGTTATTTACACGTGTATCACTTCGTGGTCCTTCTCTGTTCTTTCTCCGTTATTTACACGTGTAGGACATTTCATTGTTATCCACATTTGATATATTACTTATCACATACTGCCATGACGCTCATGTCTGTCCGCTTCAACTGTCAAGAATTAACGCGATTGGCGAAGCGTAGTGACAGCAGGCCAACAGAGAGCGGGGTCCTTGCCATAATGCGGTTTGCGCGCCAATTTCCGTACGTGCGATAATCGAGCCGAATAGTTTGGCCGAATATTCGGCTATTCGGCCACGCTCCTGGCCGAATATTCGGTATTCGGCCTGAGGCCGAATATACTATTCGTTACAACACTAGTAAAAATACATTGATTTGGCATCCAGATCTGGAGATTCATGAACTGCAGATATATACTCCAGAGTTTTTACTGTATATTTATATACTATCTTTATGTGAAATCTCATTCTAATGTAAAGTGTGAAGTATAATGATCACTATTCTTTTTATAAAAATAAGCAATATTTAATTAAGTTAGCATTATTTAAATCACTTAATTACTGTTTAAGAGTTATTCTGGCTATTTATCATCTTCTATATAATCTATACTAATATTACAAAGAGGTAATATTTGTAAGTTTGTATGTAGGGGTAATCTCTGAAACTACTCATCCAATTTCAAAAATTCTTTCACCAATATTTAGAATGGAACTTCAGGGTAGACATAGGCTGTATATTATTCCGTTAAACATTCAGATAAATTAAAAGATATCATCTAGGGTTAAGGCTTTTATGTCCAACAGATGGCGCTACGAGTGTGACGACCTAAGTTTGCTTTTCTGTGAGAATGAACTAAAGCAGATCATCTTTTATCTATCTATATAAATAAAAATGTAATGTTCGTTTGTTCCTACCAATTCCTTTGAAATTTTGACACAACACTGAATTCGAATAAGCATGTGTTTTTATATAATATACGTATCGAAATTCCCCCCCACTGAGGAGAGATGGACAGGATTAAGGCTTACCATAAAGAACTCTGCTTCTATTTATACTATAAATGCGGTTTTTGTGTTTTTGATTGTGTTTTAATAGGGTACGTCAAGAGAACGTACACTAAGAAGGAATTTTTCGAAAAATTCCCCCCCCCACAGGGGAAGTGTTATACATTTATAATAGATACATTTTGAGCCACAACAACGCGTGGCGAGGTCTGCTAGTAATCTAATAATTTTGTCCATCAAAACTGATTATCAAATAAAATGCTTCATTATCTTAATCTTTCTAACAATTTTTTTGCTCTTGGATATTTTTTCTTTACTCTTTCCATTCTGTGGGCACTAAGAATAGCTTTTAATCAACTAGATCAGTGGTGCACAAACTATTTTCACTTCTGACCCCTCATTTTGTGTAAAATTTTCTCATGACGATAGACAGTAGACATATTTTTAATCATCAACATAGTTAAAGTGAAATTCTTTCTGGGATTTGCACTTATGTTTCTGCCTTATTAGAGGACTGAATAAAACACAATTTTACTGGTACCTGATACTTGCTGGAGAAAAGCCTTATATTTTTGTCAAATAAACGAGATTATGGATTTAGTCAAATCCACAGTGAGGTGGTTAGGGACAGGACTGGACATCCAAGACAACCCATCTTCAAAAAATTCCTGGAAGTTTTCAATCCATCTGGATTCATTCCCAGGTCCCAGAGCTGTAAGCTGACTTCTTAAGCACTTGGCCATACACACAATTAATAATATATATATATATATATATATTATTAATTATGTG